TCATCATGTGATTGGAGAGGACAGTTCTAGCCAGTGTGCTCAAACTTTATGTGCATTCACATGCAACATTGCAAGATTTTATGTTATTAGTTAGCAGATGAATTATGTATTGAGGGTGAATTTGATCCAGTGGTTCATGAGATATTTTTCCAACATGTGCACACATGCAAATACACCCACACACACATACACACACACACACACACACACACACAGGCAAAACCATCATTGCCACCCTATTGCCTTTCGGCAGCAGATGATAAATACAGGTGCTCGCTGTGTGGAGCTGTTTGTACAACTTGCCTCCAGAAAATGCTTCACTTTTTTTTTTTTTTTGCAACTGTAGAGAATTATTTGATTAAAGCAGCTGAGAAAGAAAGTACTCAAATGTCATTCTTTTGTTACTTCAGGCCAACGTGTGCTCTGAGGAGGTGATGAAGGCACTAAGACAAGAGGCTGATGTAGGCAGGTAAAGTGATTTAAAAGCAGAAACTGAAAGCAGAGTCAGAAGCTCAAAGAAAGGAGGCTGCACACTATGGCCCATTCTTTTAATTACTGTCTGAATGCCTTAACAATACAAATGGACAATGGTGTTTCATGCCCTTGTGTGATAGCTCTTTGACTGAACATGTAAAACTGAGTGTGAAGAATAAATCCTGTCTGTCAGATAGAAAATTAATTACTATTGTGGCAGTAAAAAGTAAGTACATTCTTTTTCAGCTGTATCAGAATAAAATGTTAAACTAATAACATAGCATTCCATAAAGGAATGCAAATACCCACTGCCTTTCCTATCGTGTTTTTGACAATCATCCCATCTTGAAAAGAGAAAGAGCTGCAGCAATTTTGGTTAAATTTGAATGACAACATTTTGTGCCAATTTCATGCAGTATTGTAATATCTTGTTTGATATTGCATGATCTATTAGTGCTCAGAGTCTGTGTTTTGAATGACTGTCAGCTACTACCACACCAAATTCCAGCTCATTGTCTGCAAAATAAACTGTTCATAACCATTTTTATGTTCTATAAAGTCACTTGGCTGTGACAGCAGTTTTGAATTGGTCGTACAGTACAGTACAATTTGCCATGTCTTGTTTGTTGTTACCCGTCACCACCAAATTATAAATGCATTTAATGCTTTTTAATGTGTCTGTTTGTGTTTGTGGGTCTGTAATTTGTCAAAATGTATCATAAACTTGTGGCCACCCAAAGCTAGGCCAAGGTTATAAGGAGCTTTAAGCAGACGTTCACTGGGAGCCTACAAACTGATTCAAGATGGCTGCCACAGCTAATGGAACTTCACAAAAATGAAAATATATTTAACTCTGTCAGTTTTGCAAATTCATTCATTCAAGTTTATTTGAACAAGGACAGCACAATAAACAATGTTACATGATAAAAACGAAGCAACCGTTGTTTTGTACGAAGGTTTTCTAGCCACAGGCTAATTTGTAAACTCAGTCCTTGGTTGGACTTTTATATGAAAACAGCTAAAATTAAATTAAAATGTAATTAAAGTTAAACAGTTCCCTCACACACATGCCTGCTCCTCCATCCCCATGGGGCTCAGTGTTCACAGATTTGGTTTTGTTTCAACCATTTTTTTCACCTGGGAATTATAAAAACTCTAAGATCTGTTAATGTTTTTTTTTATTGCTGGTGATAAACTGTTCCAGATATGAGGCCTTTGAATGAGAAAGAACATTTTTGACCAAATGATGTTTTGTATTTTGCTGGTTTGCAGTCTCCATCAACTGC